CACTTTGAAGATGAGCTTGCCCATTAGAAGAGTTTGGACCTGGCACCCTCTGAGGCTCCTTCCGACCTGAATTTTTTAATGCTTCTTTCATCCCGTTCTCCTTTAAAACTCTCCTGTATCCTGGTGGTTGTAGAAAATTTGACAGCAGGTCACCAGAGATATGGGGGACCTCCAGTTGAGCTGCTGGGATGAGGGAGGTGAAGGTGCAACAGCATTTTGTGTACCTGCTATGAGTTGCTATGGTCGCTGGTTTTAGTGGAGAGACCAGAGCTCTGCCCCTTTTCTTTGGGAAATACTAAGGTTTTTTAGGTTGAACTCTTGTATACAAGACCTGATAAGCCAGGGCCAATAAATCCAAGTCAGCTCCCAAACATTTCAGGAGCTGGGTCAGAGGTTTCCTTCGCTGTTTCTCTAAAGTGAAATCCATCTTCTGTGTCCTCCCTGGTGCGGTTTCCAGGAGGAACGTGCAACGAGCCAGTAATTCTCAGGATTTTCTAAGGCTGCAGCTCCAGCAGAGCCAGGGAGGGGTTTACAAACCTTCTCAGATCAGCCCCTGCTCAGTTTACAAACAACGTCCTGAGGGGACCCATGGACCCCCTGCTGCCTCTGGGCTCTCCCAGTTCATGTCCCACGTCTTCAGAGGCCTGGTGACACCCAACATGTCCTCCCACAGCTTCCTCTGCCATGGGCCAGGCCCCAGCACCATGCTGTGGCACCCATGGGTGGGTGGTGGCTACCATGACCAGTCACTGGGTGCCACAGCTCCCTCTGCCTCCACCCCAGGTTCTGCCTTGGTTTCTCAGTCCATAAAGCGCTTTCTAGGACAGGGCTGGTTTCATCCCGGGCAGCGTGAGCCCAGCTCTTGGTGAGGCTCGTTGTCACCATCGATGTTTTTGGCTTTTCCAATTTGCCTTTTTTGCTTTTTCCACTTCTCTCCCCTAGCCCACTGATGGGATGCTTCTGGGACCTTCTGGAGCCCATGGGGTCCCAATGCAGCTCCCAGAGCCTGTGGGGGTCCCAGTAGGGTCCCAGCGCAGTTCATGGAGCCTTTGGGGTCCCATTGTGGCTCCAGGAGTACATGGGGTCCTGGTGTGGTTCCTGAAGCCCATGGGGTCCCAGTTGGGTCCCAGTATGGCTCCTGAAGCCCCAGTGCAACTCCAGGAGCCCAGGGGTCCCAGTGGTGTCCCAGAGTGGCTGCAGGAGCCCGGGGGTTCCCAGTGCAGCTCATGGAGCCCCTGGGGTCCCCGTGTGGTTCCTGGATCCCGGGGGGTGGCAGTGGGGTCCCAGTGGGGCGGTGCCAGCCCCGCGCTGCAGAGCAGTGACGTTCCCAGCCTTCAAGGTTTCTCGAGAAGGTGATTTTCAAGCCTTCACTGAACCGAAAACTTTCAGATCCTCCTCCTGGTGCCGCGCGGAGGGGGGGGTGTGGGGCTGGGGCTGGGGCTGGGGCTGGCCGAGCGTGGCAGCGCCCGCCATGGGGGCAGCCCCATACCCCCCCCCACATTGGGATACGTCGCTCACCAGCGGGGCTCATGGCCACCACGGTTTCCAGGAAGCACGTCGTGGCATGGGTGAGGGACACCCCCAGCCCCTCTGCGGGTGAGGGACGTCCCCAGCCCCCCTGGGCCACATCTGGCCCATCTGCCTGCCCAGCGGCTCGAAAAAAAATAGAAAAAATAATAGATTCAAGCGTTTGGGCACTTACTCTAAGAATATAAAGGCAGAGAGCGTGTCTCAGAGGTGAGTGATGGTGAGGAAAGGGTTTCCGTTCCCACGGGGCTGAGGCTGGGGGTGCAGGAGGGGTCCAGGTGCTGCCCCCCCCAGTTGATGCTGCGTTCCTGGGGCTCGGGGTCTCCCCGTGGTCTGAGGAGCAAGAACATCTGCAAAACCCACCATGGGCCAGATGTGGAGGTGGTGGGATGGGTTGAGTTTGCTGCGCGGGGTCCAATCTGCCCCCTTCGGGGTCCAGGCAAATGTGTTTTTAGGGTGAGGGGGTCGGCGGTGAAGTCCCGCTCTTTTTCTGGAAAAACTCTTGTTTTTCCAAATAACAAAACCTCTGGGTGGCTTTTCCCTCACAATCCCCTGGGAGGTCGGTCTCCCACGGATACCAGGAACACGTGCCCAGGTCCCACAGCACAACCTGGGGAACAGGCTCCAAAACAGAAGATAAAACAAAACATATTCCCCCCCCCCAGGAACAGGGGAGCTCTGTCCCCAGCGCGGGTCTCAACGCGGGGTTTTCTCCCCGTTTCCACTCTTGGCTCACACACACCCGGGATGGATTTTCCTCCTCGGAGCGGCCGCGGAGGCTGATGCTCAGTCTTGGGCTGGGGGGGGCGAGGGAACCGAGCTGGTTCTCCCTGAAGTGAAGCCATGGGGGGGGTGGGCTCGTGCCCCCGATGCCCCCGTGCCGGGGCTGGCAGCGCCGGGTGCTGGGCGAGCGCCTTCTGCCCCCTCCGTATGCAAATCCCCGCTCCCCGGCCCCTTCCGGGCAGTTTCGGGTTCGGGGTTTTTTTAAGGTTTTATTTGAGGTTTCAGTGCAGGGAAGGGAAGTGCTGATGCTGCCTGTGCCTTTTCTAGTGATTTTACCCTCGAAAGATGTCATTTCCCTCCTGCAGCCCCGTCCCCCGCAGACACTCCCGTCACGGGGACGTTGCACTCCCTTCTTTAACCCCCCCCCTTATTAATACGGTTTCAGAATGACAATTTCACACATGGCTGGGCTTTCACCTTAATAAGAAATATCAGCTTTGGGCTGGCGGGGATTAGTTGGAGCTGGGGACATCCCGGGCAGTGTCCCTGTTCCTGGGGGGGGGCGGGGGTGTCCCATGGGACACGGGACCTTGGAGCAGGGCAGTGCTGGAGGGTGAGGATGCTGCGGCAGCACAAGGCTGGGATGCAGGACCAGGTGATGCAGGACTATGGGATGCAGGACCAGGTGATGCAGGACCGAGGGATGCAGGACCGGGGGATGCAGGACTGGAGGATGCAGGGACCGGGGGATGCAGGACTGAGGGATACAGGACTGGGGGATGCAGGACTGTCGGCAGCACAAGGCTGGGATGCAGGACCAGGGGATGCAGGACTGTAGGATGCAGGACCATGGGATGCAGGATCAGGTGATGCAGGACTGGGGGATGCAGGAATGGGGGATGCAGGGACCGGGGGATGCAGGGACCGGGGGATGCAGGACTGGGGGATGCAGGACTGGGGGATGCAGGAATGGAGGATGCAGGACCAGGGGATGCAGGACTGGGGGATGCAGGAATGGAGGATGCAGGACTGTGGGATGCAGGACCACGGGATGCGGGACCGGGGGATGCTGGCGGTGTCATCGGCGGTGTCATCAGCGGTGTCACCGCACAGCATCACCGCTGCGCCGGCCGGGTTGCCCCGGTAACTGATGCACGTCAAAGGGAGCCAACGATGAACAGGCTTTAAAAAAAAACCAAAACAACCCCCCCCCCAAAAAAAATAACAACAAAAAAAAGGTGATAAATCAAACGGCACAAACAAACCAGGTATTTGCTCAGAGGGGCTGTAGGGCTTTAATGCCCTTGGTGTGTAATTATTTATGAGTGGCTTTCCTTTAATCAACGGCAGCACAGGGACCGCGCTTAAATATAAATACAGCCACAGATCGTAAACCCTGGCCAGCAGAGCTGGGCAAAACCCATCAGTAAGAGCTCTGCAGCCCAGCAGGAGGGTTCGGGGGCTGCTGGAAGACAGGAGTGGCTGCAGAGATGTCCAGATGCCCACAGACCCTCTGCCAGCAGCTGGAGGAGGGGGACAGAGACCCGGGGTCCCCTCCCTGCCCGTTGAGGTGCATCACTCCATGGACACCACCTCATTCCCCCTCCGGCTGCACCAGGAGCCAAGTCCTTATGTGAGATGGGTGTTTTGGAAACAGGCAGCCAATAAGTGCCTGTCGTTAATCTCCTGAATTCACCTCCTCAATTCACCTCCTCCTCAAACCTCCATCAGTCCCTCTCCTCTCCCACCCCAGCGTGTGCTCAGAGGCTTTGCTGGGGCAGCGCCTTCTGTGAAGCCAGCGGGAGTTTTGCCTGCGTGAATATCACAGGAGTTTCCCCTGAGCCTTCAGCCCACAGGGAAAAAATTATTCTCTTGTTTGTTTGCGATGTGCGGTGAAGTTCAGCAGCCTCTGAGCCCGGAGGCGGCACCTGAGAGACCCTGGGGACCATCCCTTGCCCTCCGTGAGGAGCTGGAGAGGGGCACCAGGAGCCTTCTTGAGGGTGCAGAGCTGCTCGTGAGGCTCTTGGAGCTGCATGACAGGGACGGGGCGGGTCTGGCTGGAAGGAAATGTAAAATAATTTTTAAAAATTTAAAAATTACTATTTTAGTAATAAATAAAATATTTTTCATATATTAAAATATATAAAAATAAAAACATAAGAATAAAAAATATTTTTAAATCTATAAAATATATTTTAAAATGTATTTTAAAATATAAAATGTATTTTAAAATATAAAAAATATTTTTAAAACTATAAAAAATATTAAAATGAATTTTAAAAGGGGCTGGAGCTTCAGCAGAGCCTCGGTGGCACTGCGGAGCTGGGGGGGAGCAGCCTGTGGGGAAGGATGAGCGGATGCCGAGTGGTTGCAGGTCCTTCTGGAGGGAAGGTCACATCCCCAGGCCTGGGAAGGTCACTCCCTGCCTTCCCGGGGCTTGTCCCACTGGTGTCTGAGGTGTGATGGGATCAGCGCAGGGTGCAGGATCCTGCTCCGGAGGCGGCCCCGCGGTGGGTACCACACGCCTCCCAAGGCGTGATGCTCTGCGCCCGACGTGCCACCGCCGCGGGGTCCTCCCACACCACCCCCCCATCACGCATCACGCATTACTCAAAATCCAGAGTGTTTTGGTGAAGCATCTTTTCCTCATGCCTTTTTTTTTTTTTTTTTTTTGAGAATTATTTTTAGACTTTGACCCAAAAAAAAAAGTTTGAAATGTGGAACCTGTGTGTTTCGTGTCTCCCGCCCAGGCACAGGCCGCAGGCTCGGCACACTCCTCGCCCACCCACGGGGCCGGCCGCCCCATGCCCATGCCCGTCAGGTCCACCTCTGCTGGCTCCACCCCAACCCACGTCCCGCAGGACGCGCTGGCCGGCGTCGGGGGAGACCTGCAGGAAGCTTTCACCCAAGGTGAGTGTCTCACAGAGCAGAACCACCTCTGGAGGTGTCCCACCTCGTCAAAGAGGGGGCATCCAGACCAGGTACAAGGATGAAATCATTCAGGATGAGGGTGGTGAGAGCCTGGCCCAGGTCACCCAGAGAAGCTGTGGCTGCCCCATCCCTGGAGGGGTTCAAGGGCAGGTTGGAGGGGGCTTGGAGCAACCTGGGCTGGTGGGAGGTGTCCCTGCCCAGGGCAATATGGAGACAATAATGGCCAACCCCTTTCCTGTGCTCTCAACCAAACGGTTTGGGGGCACATTTTTAATCTTGGCAACTCTGAAATTATATCTGTGATGATGATCTTCCCTCCAGAGAAGGGATCTTCCATCCCAGAAAGTGACACCTGCAAGTAATTTAACAGTTAGCCCTTAAAAACTATAAAAGGCGTTAAAAACATATTTACAAATCTGGTGGCTGAACTGTGCGAGAGGAAAAAAAAAAAGCAGTTTAATGATGAAAATCAGGAAAACAGGCAACCCTCTGATCCAGAGTGCTCTGCTGACGGCTGCTCACCTCTCTGCTGGTCGGAGGCAGAAAGGAAGCTGGAATCTTTCCGCGCGGCTGAAGGCTGTTGGCCACCGTGAACATCTGTGGAACGGCTCGCTCGGCTGGAGGCACAGACGGGCAGCAGCCCTGTGGGGAGAGGGGGAAAAAGTGCTGAACATGGGAAATGGAGAAAAAAGAGGAGAGGGGAGGGGAGAGGAAGGGAAGTCAAGTCAAGACAAGTCAAGTCTTTTGGGTCTTTCTAGTCTGGAGAAGGCTGAGGGGGCATCTGATCAACGCCTGTAAATACTGAAAGGGTGGGTGTCAGGAGGATGTGGCCGGGCTTTTTTCAGTGGTGCCCAGTGACAGGACAAGAGGGAACGGGCACAAACTGGAACATAAGAAGTTCCATCTAAACAAGAGGAGGAACTTCTTTCCTGTGAGGGTGGCAGAGCCCTGACAGAGGCTGCCCAGAGAGGGTTTGGGGTCTCCTTCTTTGGAGACATTCAAACCCACATGGACACGTTCCTGTGGGACCTGCTCTGGATGGACCTGCTTTGGCAGGGGGTTGGAGGAGATGATCTCCAGAGGTCCCGTCCAGCCCCATATCATTCTGTGATTCTGAGAGAGGAGAGGAGAGGAGAGGAGAGGAGAGGAGAGGAGAGGAGAAAGGAGAAAGGAGAAAGGAGAAAGGAGAAAGGAGAAAGACAGAACAATGAACTTTTTCTTGCTCCAAGGGTCGGAGCTGTGTCCCTTTGCACCTTTTCTACATGTTAGTCCCCTCCGCATTTGAAAAAAATACCACTTTCTGGGCTAAACTCATTGCTGCCGACTGCTCCATCGGTAGGTGTAGGAAGTTCTGGATTATCAGATGGTTTCAGCTGCTTCCTCTCTGTCCACCTTCTCCTTGGGCTCTTGGGTAAAAGCAGCGTGGTGGGAAGCAGTGGGTAAGCTGTCCGCTTGTGAATAATACAGCTCAGGGCGTTTTGTAGAAAATCAGGGCAGCAGTTGACTTACATATTTCTGTTCCCCCACTTCTGTAGGTAGTGTGAGTTTATACTTAGCTGCTGTTGCTTTTTAGGAAAAAAAGAAAAAAAAGTTTTACAGTCACGCGTTGCAAAAGACTCAAACTTTTTCCATGTCAAAGCCCTTGTCGGCGCAAGGAGGGCTCCAAAACTTAAAGACAACCAGATGAAATGGAAAGTTGTTCAGCTCAGTGGAGACCACTGCCTCTTCCTCACAGCCTGAGCAGGCTTGGCTCTGGCGGTGCTGGGAGGCAGGAGGAACACCACCATCAGCCTCATGTCAAGAAACTTGGCAAATGGATTTTTTTTACCTTCAGGGACCATCTCACTGCAGGGGAGGGGGGGAAATAGTTATCTTCATTCCTACCTACTTCAGCTCTGCTCATGGGGAAGGAAACCATTCCCAGGAGGAATGAGGGCCCATGTTCTGTTTCTCAGGAGCGGTGACTCTCAGATTTTATGAGCTCTTTTCTTCTCTTTTGCTCGTTTTGGGCCAGAACTCTTCATCTTTAGTACTCCAGAAGCATCCTGGGGTTTAGAGCTGTGAGAAAACCAGGTATGGATGGGTACCTCTCAGACAGGGAGGTTGTTTCTGAACATGGTCCACATTCCTGGAGATGGACATCCAGGAGTATTTTATGTGCTTCTTATCCACAAGAAAAGAAAGAAGGACAGAAAGCCCACCTCTCCCTCATGCATTGGGAAGGACTTCACCCATGTGTGGGCAGGGACAACCTCTGGGCAGCGACTCTTCATGTGGACCTCTTTGTACTCCATGGGAAATCCCACCAGGAGCTGGACATCTCGATGCCTGCAGTGCCCAGACGCTGCCGCCTCTCGTGTCTGTTGGCCCTTTGCAGTAAACAAGAGCCCTCGCCTTGTTGCAGAGGCCGGGCTGTTTATTTCTTTAAAAGATGACAAATTTGGATCATACGGAGTCACAAAACTGGGGGTGGTGTGTTCTCATCCTGGGTAGGGAAGATCATGAATGTTGGTGTCAAATACCTTTGTCAGATGGACCGACTCCTTTTCAAAACAAAGAAAACGTGAAAATAAACTTCCCAGAACTGATGATGTATCTCAAAACCAAACAGATTTTAAATCACAAATTCCATTTATCAGCTGCTCATCAGATATGTCCTTCTAGAATGACCTTCCTTCACTAAATGTTCTTCCTTGCCTAAATGACCTGCTGGCAGAAGGAGGTGAGGAGAGAGGCTTCAAGGTGGCAGTGGAGGAGCAGGAAGTATCAGCGACTACTTTTAATTGGTATTTCATTCCGGGGGTGCTGCCACCAGGACTGCCAGCCCTTCTCCCCCAGCGCGCTGGATAGAGGGAAAGTTCTCCAGAACTTCAGCTGGTGAACAGGCTGGGGGATGGAGGTCATCCATCCGAAAACATTGAGTATCTACAACTCATCTGGGGGAAGGATATGTCTTTTTCCGATCCCATCGGTAGGAACAAGCTCCTCATCTCTCTAAACACTTCCAGAAACGACGGCAGGAGCAGGCATTTCCAGGGAGGCAAGATGCCAAATACCAGAGGCACAACACTCCATCTGTTGCTGTGGGTGGTCCAGTCGCCTCCTCTTCATCTCTGCAGAGAGTTTGATGGTGCAGCCGAGAGCTCTCGACTGATTTCTTTGGCAGCTGCCTCTCCTTCCTCCCCCCCCACCCCCCATTTTTACAGATTGGCTTTCTTTTTCCAGGCTGCGTGAAGTGGAACAGCAGCACGGTGAGTCCTGCCCGGGACTGGGCAGATCCGCTCGGGATCTGCTTCCTCCTTTCCCCCTTTCCCTTTTCTAATTAGCAAAGCACAAAGAGATGAACTGATCCTGCTGCTGCTGGGAGTGATGAACTCGGGGTTATGGGAGTACGTTAACTGTCCTACTTGATTATTTATTTTTTTTCCCACTTTATGCTCTGGCACCCAAGTTTGCTCTCTCTCCGTCTGTTTTTCCCTTTGGAGAAGGAGGGAAAAGCCGTGACAAAGCAAACTCCTCTCTGGCCGCTTTGCGATCCCCAGAACTCTCTTCCCCAAACTCCTGGCCCCGGGAGGAGCTGATGTAATTAATCAAGGGCTCATTCGTGCCTGTTACCTGAGTGACTGGTTCATGAGGGGAGAAAGAGTCTTCGTCAGGACCTGTTGATATTGCCCAAAGTGAAAACTCGGGGTTGTTTTTTTTTCTAGGTTTTTAACACCTGACACCATCTCAGGGCTGTGTTGCAACGAACCAGGTGTTGTGTGAAACTATTTGGGGCTGGGCTGAGGAGCCACCACGTCCCAGCAGCTCGGTGCTGGTGCTGGTGGTGACTCCCCAGAAGCAAAAAATCTAGAGGCAATCCCCAAAATTCCCTTATATTATGTTGTTTGGGTTTTTTTAACAAAAAAAAAAATTAATCTATTTTTGCTAACTTTTGCATATCCACCAGATTCTTACAAAACGAAGAGGGAGAGAGGAGGAAAAGGGAGTGAAGACCTCGGTGCTGCTCCACCTCCTGCTACGGTGACCTGGAGTGGGCAGGGACACCGAGGTCTTCTCTGTCCTCCCAGGGCAGGATCTTCTGCGAGCTTCCCCACCAACCTCCAGAGAAGGAAACCTTTAAAGAGCAGAATCTTTAAAGAATTGATAGTCTTAAGATTAGATAAGTTTCCGCCGCAGGTGATCTCTTGATCTTCCACTCGGCCAGAGGGAGGAACAGTATGAGAATTAAATGCCCTGATGGTGTCCCATTCGAAGTATTCAGACAGAGTGGCCACCATCTAATTAGAAAATTAATGCTGCTGTTGATCATCTTGAAAGAGAGGAGAACAGTCCCCTGGGATTTCTCAGGTGTGATCCAACGCAATGCCAACGGAAAGGTGGACGTTCCTCCTGTGGTAACCACAGCGATGGTTTGTTCTTCTCAGCTACGAGAAAAAAACTCTTGCAAGAAAAAAAATGGCCAACGGACTCTGTAATAAGTTTCCTGGAATGATCCTTCCGGAAAGGCAATCTGCACAATTAGTGCTATTTCAGATTAATCATGCAAAATCAGGCAAATTCAAGGCAAGTGGAGAACACAGGAAACAGGATAAAATTTCTGTGTTTTCACGTAATAAAATAATTAAATGCCACCAGCCAGGAGGGCTTCGGGTGGCTTCTGCACAGAGATGTCCAGACGAGCTCCTTAACGTTATCCATCTGTTTGACGGGGGAGACAGACTGGGCTTTTACAACCTTTCTCTCCCCAAAGTGGCGCCGGGCAGAGCGGTGGCCGCGTTTCTCCATCACGGGCAGTGAGAGGATGTGGGACATCTAGAGACCCGGGTAAAGGAGAGACCTCCATGGTGTCAGAGGAGACCCCTTAAGGCACAGGTCCCAGCCTGGTTGGCTAAAATCTGGGGTTTTTTCTTGGGAATCACACACTGTGCCGCCTCAGGAGTGATGCTGATCAGTTGGGAACCCAACCTGGAGGAAAAGGATGCTGGTGGAAGGGTCGGTACCGTGCTCTGGCAGCACTCAAACAGCTCAAACCCATCGGAGAGATGTAGGAGCTCCAAGAGTCCCCAGCCAAGGATGGAGCGAAGGCCAGGGCAGTGTGTGGGAGATGAAAGAGACACGTCATGGAACGGGAGAGGAACACAACTTCAAACAGCAGCAAATGTGTCGTGCGCAGTTGTCATTGCTGCAGTTCAGTTCCATGGCGAAATGTCGCATCAGATGTCCCCAGTGGTCCCATACGTGTCATCTTCATGCCCTCACTGGAGTTCTGTGTCCTCAGCTCAGGAGAGACATGGAGCTGTTGGAGCGGGGCCAGAGGAGGCCCCGGAGATGCTGGGAGGGCTGGAGCCCCTCTGCTGGGAGGGGGGGCTGAGAGAGTTGGGGGGGGTCAGCCTGGAGAAGAGAAGGCTCCGGGGAGACCTTGGAGCCCCTTCCAGTCCCTCAAGAAGGGGGGCTCCAGGAAAGCTGGGGAGGGACTCTGGCTGAGGGAGGGGAGCCCTAGGAGGAGGGGGAAGGGTTGGACCCTGCAAGAGGGGAGATGGAGCTGAGCTGTGGGGAAGAACTTGTTTGGTGGGAGGGTGGTGAGAGCCTGGCCCAGGTTGGCCCGAGAAGCTGTGGCTGCCCCATCCCTGGAGGGGTTCAAGGGCAGGTTGGAGGGGGCTTGGAGCAACCTGGTGTGGTGGGAGGTGTCCCTGCCCAGGGCAGGGGGTGGCACTGGGGGGGCTCTAAGGGCCCTTCCACCCCAAACCATTTCGATTCTACTGAGGTGTGGCGCTTCTGGGGCAAGGTGCTGGCTGGGAACTGGGCTTTGCTGTTGTGAACCATGATTCAGTGAAATGGCACGGTGGGGTGGGGAGGTGGGGCACAGCAGAGCAGCACATGCAATTCCCACTGTCTGTCTGTCTGCTCTGCCCCCAGGTACGAGGAGAAACCTCCGCAATGACCTGCTGGTAGCAGCTGACTCCATCACCAACACCATGTCATCACTGGTGAAGGAGCTTCATTCAGGTAAGAGTTAATTTTGTGGCACAGAGAACCGTAGAATTGTCCAGGTTGGGAGGGACCTCTCAGATCATGGAGCCCAACCATCAACCCAACACTGACAAACCCACCACTGACCCATGTCCCTCAGCACCATGTCTGCCCAGCTTTTACCTTCAGGGATGGTGACTCTACCACTGCCCTGGGCAGCCTCTTCCAAGGCTTCACAACCCTTTCCATGAAGAAATTCTTGGAATATCTACAGAGAAGGGGACTCCACACCCTCTCTGGGCAGCCTGGAAAAATGGCTTTTTCCATATTTTGTCTCTCGTTACTGTCTATCCCAAGCAGGTAGTAAATGTATGTGAGTGAGGGTCATGGCAACAAAGGACCATGTGGAAAAAAGATAATTCTTCCCTTCGTGCCTCTGTGCTGTGGAGATGGAGGTGAACAACCTGGTGGGACCGGAGCGGCTCCTCCCTCCCAGGGCCGCGTCCCGTGCCTCCCCAGCACTGGTGGCCGTGGAGAAGGGGATGGTTTAGGATTCCAGCAGCTTCTCTGTGGGCTTTCCAGGGAGAGGCGAAGCATCCCGTGAGCCTGGCCTCCCCCAGCCCCGGCTGTACCCGGTGGTTGTGTCCCGTGACACCCCCCTCCCCACAGACTTATCAAACTCCGCGTTAAAACCAGCCGGGCTTTTTGTTCCCCAATGGAGAAGTCAGAGTTATAAAGCGGGTTGATCTTTTACCACTCAGCAGTAAATTCTCCCCGGCCCGAGCCCCGCACCCGGGCTGCTGCGAGTTAATGAAGTTAATGAAGTCTTTCATGTATGACAGGGGCCGTGGCGGGGAAGGGCCTGCCGTCCCTCATAAATCACCGGGGGGAGAGGCGCAGCTCCCGTCCCTCTGGGCTCAGACCCGGGGAACAAACCCACTGCCCGAAACAGATGGCTGCAGTCATCTTTTTTTTTTTTTTTTTTTTTTAATTGTAGCTTTCCTCTAGGCTTAATGCTGGTATAAAAGGTTTTGGCTGATGAGCAAATCTTTGCC